GTTTTGACTGCACATATATAAGTGCACCCATGTTGTGCGATGCCTACAGAGGCCAGAAGAGGGCATCAATCTCCTGGAACTGGAGTTATAGACGGTTGTTAGCTGCCATGGAGGTGTTGGGAACCAAACTTAGGTCCTCTGCAAGAGCAGCCAATGCTTTTAACTGCTGAGCCATTTCTCCAGCCCCAGAAATTGAAATTTAAAATTATTTTTGTAGTGCTAGAATTGAACTCAAGACCTCTGGCATACTGTGCACCGAGCTAAACCCTCATGAAATTCTGTAAAAATTCATTTATAATAGCACTAAAAGATGAAACTGTGACGAATTATTAACACACATTAAACAGCGTTGCACCAACCATAACCCATTATGAGACTTTAAAGGAAACTGAACTAAGTAGAGAAATATATTTATGAAAGAGAAGACTAAACATTAGTGAGATGTTAATTCTTCCCAAATTATTTGGTATACTTAATTGGATTTCAATAAAAATCTGAGCAGACCCTTTTTTCAGTAGCAATTAACTGACAGATTGGTACCAAAAATTATTTAAAATAAACTCGGGAACATTTTTGAAAAACAAAGAAAGGAAAAAAAGAGGGCTTATGCCACATGTTTACAAGACCTGCCATCAATCTGCAGTCACACATGCTCATGGTCAGGCCAGACATGGGCATTCATGGAAGAGGAGGCCGAGTTCAGAATAAGATTCACACACATGTGGCCAGCTGGTTTGGCACAAGAGAGGCCGTGGTGATTCTGGGGAACTGTCTTTTCATCTAATGGTGCCAGAGCAAATAAATCTCTATATGAAGAAAACAAGCCTTGAGGCTTCCCCTCTGCTTGGCAGCCTGCTCCCACGGAACAGAAAGACAGGGAGGAACAGTGTGGTTAGTGGAGCAGCCACGGGCACATCCCAGAATTTCTTCCCCAGCCCACACTTCCGGCTAATCATGGGAAAGACACCAGGCAGGGCCAGGCATGGTGGCACATGCCTTTAATCCCAAACTTGGGAGGCCGAGGCAGGCAGATTTCTGGGAATTCCAGGCCATCCAGGGCTACATAGTGAGGCCCTATCTCAAAAACACAGAAAGAACAATGACAAAAAAAATGCAACCAAAAGCTAGAACCCATGTTTTCTTCTGACATCTGTTAAAAGAACCAACGATCAGTTTCCACACACAGCTGCTGAAGCAGAAAACAGAACAAGGTAACTAGCGTTCACACTTGAAGTCTCTACAGAGAGAACCAGGGCCCAGACACCGCCTCCCACACTGCTCACTCTCCGTGGGTCCTTCAAAGTTCTACCCTTAGCACCAATCTCTCCAAGAGCCAAATTAAATTTAACAAAGGAAAATAAACCCCGACTTTTATTTCATGTCATACACAAAAATTAAAACTGACCACCTCAGTAGAAGAGTACGTCCCTATCACGTAAAGAAGATCTTGGCTTTGATCCCATACTGCAGAGAAACAAAACTACAACAAATAATAACAATACCCCTCCACAGACCTGAATGCACAAGCTAAAACTACAAAACTTCTAGAAGAAAGTATGTGAGAAAACTTCCCAGCTGTGGGATAAACTAATTTCATTTGTTCTTTTTATTTTACACGTATGAGTGTATTGCCTGCATGTGTGTGAGTGCATCTGTGTTGTGCAATGCCCGCGGAAGACAGAAGAAGACACTGGATTCCCCTAGAACTGGAATTATGGACAGTTGTTAGCCTCCATGTGGATGCTGGAAATTGAACCCAGGTCTTCCGCAAGAGCAGCAGTGCTCTTAACTGCTGAGTCATCTCTCCAGCCCTGATACACTGATTTCTTACATAGTCAAAAAGCACAAGCAAAAAAAAAAAAAAAAAAAAAATCGAATCTATTAAAAAACAAACTTTTGGGTAGTGCATACCTGTAACCCCAGCACTGGGAAGGGGAAGGCATTACGTCGGTGAGGTCACGGCCATGATGGACCTCATAGTGAGACCCTGACTCAAAGACTAAGGGATGCAGATGTGCTTCAGTGTAGAGTACTTGCTTAGCATGTACAAAGGCCTGGATTTGACTCCCAGCACCATAAATAGCAACAAAACAAAAATAAAAAGGGAACAAATGCTTCTGACCATGGAAAGACACTAAAAGGAAATGAAAAGGCTTTCGATCAGAGAAAGCACTTGTTGTATAATTCCGACAGAGGGTTTTAGGGAGGACGACTCGACTATAAAGTCAAAGCCAGCTGACACATCAAGCTCAATGGGGGGAATGTCACGGGGTCCCACCTGGAGATGAAGAGCTACAGGCAACCAATAGATGGTGAAGGAAGGAATCAGTTTTCTCCAGGGACTCCCAGAGAGGTTGTCTAATCTCAAACGGGCATCCCCAAACACAGGTACACACAAGCACCATTAAATAGACGCAGTGCTTTATACATACGTATATTCATAAATGTTTGTGTGTATATGTAACAACAATCAAAGAAGAGGGGCTGGAGAGATGGCTCAGCGGTTAAGAACACTGGTTGTTCTTGCAGAAGACCAGGGTTTGAATCCCAGCACCCACATCGCAGCTAACAACTGTCCTAACTCCAGTCCCAGGGGATCCGACGGCCTCTTCTGTCCTCCTCGGGCATTGCACGGCACGGGTGCACTTACCTACATGCAGGCAATACACTCCCACACATAAAATAAAAAATAATAAATAAAATATTTTTAAAAAACAATCGAAGACCTTGAGAGGGAGTTGGGGGACATGGGGGGAATTGGCAGGGCCTGGAAGGGACAGAAATGATGCAAGGATAATATTCATATGTGAAATTGTCAAAAAAAATTTAAGGAAGGAGAGTATTGTGTGAAGCTTTGTGTTAACAGGAGCTTGGTAGAATCCAGAATCACCTGGAGATGGACCTCAGGGTGTGCTCAGAGGAGACTGTCCCGATTAAGGTAACTGAGGTGGAAAGACCCATCTTAACCGAGAGGGACCATTCTCTGGGCAGGGGATCCCAGACCTTCGAGGATATGAAGTCGAGATAAGTCAGCTGAGCACTGGCAATCCTTCATCACTGTCTGTCTGTCTGTTCCTGACTATGGACGTGATGTGACCAACTGTCAAGCTCCTGCCCTCACTTCTGTCAGCGTATTTTTAAAGCAGGTTTAAAAATATATATTTCATTAATTATTTTTTATGTGTATGAGTCTATTGCCTGCATGTGTGAGTGCACCTCACCTGTGTTGTGCAATGTTCGTGGAGGTCAGAAGAAGGTGCTGTTGGGTCCCCTGGAACTGAAGTTACAGATGGTTGTTAGTCATTGTGTGGGTACTGGGAATCAAACCTGGGTCCTCTGCAAGAACAGCCAGTGTTCTTAGCCACTGAGCCATCTCTCTGACCCCTTCTGAGGGTATTTCATCACAGCAACAGGAAAGGAAACTAAGACTGCACATCTTTACTCTATCACCAACACCCACAGCTCAGTAAGCGCAGGAGCACAATGCATCAACTGAAAGAAACAGGTGAACAGGGACTTCACAAATAAGTGCCTCAAAGATTCTATCACTAATTGTGAGGAAATCACACATTAACACCACAGCACACCCCACTCCACACCCATCAGTGTGACTGAAATGCGGACCACTGACAGCACAGAATGCACAGGAATGAACCAGCTGGAGCATCCTAGGTGGGAATGCAAGATGACGCACCCCTTTGGAAAAAGCGATCAGCAGCTCTTGATGAAGTTAAACACGCGCTTCACCATGTGATCCAGCAGTCCCACTCCAGCTAGGTATCCAAGTGAGAGGAAACTATCCATTAACACAAACACTTGTACTTTAATCCACAGCAGCTTCATTAATTAAAAAAAAAAAGATCCAAATGTCCATCCGCAAGTGAATGGAGGCACATTTGGGTGCAGGATGCCAGTTACCAGCCAACAGCAGCTACTATCAGAGCTACAGCGACACCGGTGGACCTCAGAAGCATCACACAGAGTCACTTCCTTGGTAATTTCTTCTGCATGAAACTCTAGAAAGGGCTGAGGAGGTTATTCAGTTGGTAAAGCATCTGCTGTCCAATCCCCAGCACCCTTATAAAAAGCTGGATATGGCGGTGCACACTTGTAATCCCAGCCCTGGGAGGTAGAGGCAGGTGGATCTCTGGTGCTCACCGCCCGGCCAGGCTAGCCCCATCAGCGGGTCCCAGAACGAGAGACCCTGTCTCCAAACACAAGGTGAATGGCCCTGAGGAGTTCCACCTAAGGTTGACCTCTGATCTAAGCATGAACATAAACAGGAATGAATCCCCCCTCCCCCAACTCCCCATCTAAGAAACGCTGGGAAAGACAAATCTAATCAACGGTGTCAGAAAGCAGACCAGCTGCTGAGCAGTAGTGCCTGGGAAGAGCCCCAGAAAACACTTCTGGAGACCCAACTTCAGTGCTGGTGACAACAGGCTTTTCAGTACCCATCCAGGCACACGCTGACATGGGGGCATTTTATTATACACAACTCACACTCCAATCAACGTGATTTAAAATTTCAAAAGGAAATGGTTCCTATAAAACACTATGTCTGCGGGGTGTGGTGGCACACACTTTTAATCCCAGCACTTGGGAGGCGGAGGCAGGTGGATCTCTGTGAGTTTGAGGCCAGCCTGGTCTCCATAGTGGATCCAGGCCAGTGGTGGCTACAGGGAGACCCTGTCTCAAAAAGACCCAAACAACAACAAATGCCATGTCTGGCTCAAGTATGGTAGAGACCCGTCTTCGTGTTTACAGCTCATGGGGACTGGGGCCGGGGCAAGCACGGGGAACCGAGGTCACAGGCATCTGCCATGTCATCTGGGTCAGAGGGAGAACTTGGATCTCTGGACAAGAGCAGGAGGTTCAGAGTCTATGGTGGTATGGTGGAAGAAGGCTGTGGGTGCAAACACTCAACCAGGCATTTCATCACAGGGCCAAGCTGGAACCTCGTTTTGATTTTAATTTAAAAAGAGCTGGCAGGGCCTTACCAGACAGTTGCTTGACCGCCACAGGTCTCACCTTGTAGGGGGTTCTGCAAGAAAAGAGAGTGTCTGTGAGAGGTGCTGGCTGCACTCAGAGGTAAGGGAGAATTACAATTCAGTACAGGAACTTTGGTGGTTTGTTTTCTTTTCCTGTTGTGGTGCTGGAGAGTGAACCAGGGCCTTGAGTAGGGCAAGCATGTGCTCTACCGCTGAGCTACACCCCAGCATCGCCCCCTCCACCCACATTTGACTTCTCTGAGCTTCCTCAATCAGATGAATCTAAATATTTCAGTTACATCATGTAACTGGTTTCCTTACAATGCTCGTATTCGGTTAACAGAGCCAAATTTCTGTCATCAGTACAACCAGGAAACAAAAGGTGCCGTACCTATTGGGTGGGACCGGCAGATTGTGACATTCTTGTCTAAATCTACCCTAATGCCTGGTGGGCGCAGGTGGGCTCCCTCTTCCATCTGTTGAAACCTGTGGTGACTGCACCCCAGAGGATGGAGCCAGAGGCTCAGTCAAAAACACTCCCCAGTGTTCACAAGGCCCGACTGAAGCTGGGCAGGGGGCAATGGCAATGCAGGTGGCAAATAAAGGCTACTGCACTGATGGAAAGGCTCTGGCCAAGGGCAAGGGCAGGATCCTGAGACTGATGGAAACTAGGTAAACGGCAGACCAGCAACGGCCAGCGCTAACAGCTAACCTCAGCAGAGAATTTTTTTACCCAGTAATTTAGCAAATGCTAAACCCTGGTAGCAGGACTTCAGGAGGCCTGGAAGACTGCCCTCACAGGTGCTGCTGGTGGGGGGCACACTGCTGAGAGCAGAAGTGACCCAACCTGATCCTTTGTCTTGCAAATGACCTTAGGAAGCTGAGCACCAAGCCAACCTATCAGAGCCCAGGGGCTGTCCATGGTCCTCTGCTCACATGACACACATTCAGTCCTGTGGCACTGTGTGCCTACGGGAGGGGCTGGCAGTGACCAAGGCCAAAATGGTCCTGCCCTGGGCAAGGACCTTCCACGTTCAAGTTCAGGTCTCTAAAAGGAGGTGTAGTACATGGCAGGGCCACTCCGATGTGGAAGACGCATTTGTGGTCCCACAGTTCAGGCCAGAACCCTGATTTCTGCCAGAGCCCTAACTGGATTTGCCTGAGGTCATAAGGCTGGGGCCCCCATGAATGGAATCTGTGTCCTTATAAGTGGGCCAAGGAACCCCCTCCTTTTTTTCTCTCTCTCAGGATAAAACAAGAGGGCAGTTGTGTACAAGCCAGGAAGAAGGCTCACTCCAGACTCCAGGTCTCCACCTCCTAGCCTGCAGACCCGAGAGGAACAAATGCCACCACATGGTGTGGCACGACACTGGGTCTCCAGCTGCTGAGGGGGAGACCTGGTCCTGGAAGGACACCCAGGGATAGAAACACAAAATCCTGAGCACATACAGAGGTCATTTCTGGTGCAAGTATGGAGAAACACACACTCCAAACTGCTAACAGGGACTAACCAGGAGTGACGGACAGTGACAAGGGAAACAAACCATTCTTTAAAAAAAAAAATCTGTGTATGTTCATGTGTACGAAGGTGGGCTTGCCCAGCCACAGTGGGCATGTGGAGGTCAGAGGGTAACCCTGGATGTTGGTTCTCACCTTCTACCGTGCTTGATGAGGGTGGGGTGGGGTCTCTGTTCTGTCACTGCGTACTCCGTGAGGCTAGCTGGCCTTTGAACGTCTCTGCCTCCTGTCTTGCTGTAGGAGTGCTGGGATTACAGATGTGCACAACTGTGTCCAGCATAACCATTCCAGGGGATCGTCACACTTGTAATGGAAAGCACTTTACCTGCTGAGCCATCTATCCAGCCCCACTACTTCTAATACCAGAAAGTATAAAAATAGTCTGTATGGTGCTGGGGTGGGGATGAGCATGGTCTCCTTTCCTTCCCATAAGAAATTCCTACTGCCCTGGACCGCTGAGATGAGTCTACACCCCATGTGGCCCCTCCAAATTTCAGCTGCTCCCTAAGAGAAGTCTGTTTGCCCAGGCTCTGGGTCTCTGCGGACTGTGGCATAAGTGGAGTTTGGGACCCGTTAGATCAGGTGTGTAGCCGCAGATCCCGTGCAGGTTTAGTATGGCTGTAAGTGGTGCGTGAGCCTGGGGAGGTCAGACACAGGGCCGACAGTGGTGTGGGATAAGGGAAGCCAGGGCCAGGCCACTATTGCCACACAGAAGAGAAAGTGAACACTGTGTTTGAAGGGTGGGAAGAGGCAGATGGTGAGAGGTGGGGACGGGGCCTCCTCTCCACCCCTCATCCCCACCCAGCTGTCAGTCTCAATCTGACTCCCTTTATAAGGTGCGTGCAGCAGGCGGAGAGGAGCCAGGATCCAGGAGACCGCAGGGCAGGACATCTTCTCCTTCCTCCCAGGGGCAGGAAGGGTTTTCCTTTCCTTCTCCTTGTCTTGAGTCCCTAACACCACTGCTGGAGGCAGCAGGGGTTGGTGACAAGTGGCAGAGAGGGGTGTAGGAGGTGCGGAGGGGCTGGACCACCACCTTGGTGCAGTGGAGATGTCCGCAGTGACACAAAGCCAGCTCCCCCTCTTGGGGCTATGATGTCCCTTGTGCTGCCGGTCACCTTGAGAGGACCTTTGTTCTCTCCCTTCAAACTGTTCTGACCGCCTCAAGAGCCTAGAGAACACGTTCTGCGGGCTCTGCGGAGCTAAGGGACAGGAGCTGGCAAGCGGACGCCACAGGCCAGAGGACGCCACAGGCCAGAGGTGGTGTGGGTCTGGATGGACACTGCAGGACACCCAGGCAGTTGTGGAACTTTCCAGGCCACAGGCGGAGCTCCTTGGGATGCATTGCGTAGCCCTTCAAGATTAGTCTTGGCTGCTGGTTCCGAATCCTCTTGACTCTGCTCTGCAGCCAGTGACATAGCTTCCGGGACTGAATAAACTCTTGGCTCCATCTGAATTGAGTTACGGCTTTCCTCGATGTCTTCTGATGCTGTTAATGTAACATAATGACATAACCCCTTCCCCCACTGCAGTGACAAACGGCCTTGGACTTTCTTTACATGCCTGTTCTACAGTCTGACTGCCTGGGCTTGGGTCCTCCTCCATAATACACTGGGAGGCGGGGGCCTGGCGCCAGCTGGGCACCCAGGAGGCATCTGTGCTGAGCGGAGGGACGGCCGTACGGCCCTCCTCTCTGGTGCCTGGCAGCTTTGCCCGGCAGAGCTGCGCGTCTCACAACTTGGCTAAAATTGGAAACGAAAGACATGTTTGTGTTATGTCACAAATGTGCGGTGTCATTCTGGCCCTGACTCTCCCCATACGCTATGCCATACGCCCTACTTTTCCTCACATGTAAGCATCTGTTCTTCTACGAGGACCCTGAAGCAGTAGGCACAGATGTGGAGGGGAGGAGTCCAAGGGGCAGCACCGGAGGCTGGACGCTGCCATGTCAAGAACATTCCCTGGTCAGAGAGGGGTGCAGGGCCCAGTGAGGACAAGCCTGTAGCTCTATTTGGCCAGACTCTGATGTGTCTGTTCTTATTTACTGGTCCCAGGAAACAGGGCCACTCAGTAACTTGTCTTGCCCAGCTCCAAACAAGAGCAGAAGCCAATCAGCCTTCTGTCCTCCCACAGCCCCTGGACAGATAGACCAGACTATCTTACACTCTGGTTTGAGCAATGTACTGGTTGGTTACCCAACATCCCATCAGCTCGGGAAGGGCAAGGCAGGCACTGGTGGGTTCAGAGAAGCTTCTGGACCAGCAGCGTGGGGCACAAATCCAGGGAGCAGAGGTGGGAGGTGTGTGGATGCCTGCCAAAGGGAACCACCTGCAGGCTGGGCCAGCAGACTTGAGAACAAGGATATGAAGGTGGATTTGGGCCAGATATTTCCAAGGAAGGGTCTGCATCATGTCCAGGGATGGACAGGATACCAGGAACTCCATGTTGGAGAGTCATGAGATTAAAAAGTCAGGTCTGAAGCTGGTGTTCTGGAAGGCAGGCAGATCTGGCAGATCACCAGGAGGAGACGGCAAGTACCAAAGCCTACCTGCCCATTAGAAGGATAGTCTTGGCTGTGCAATCTGAAGGTGCTCAGGCTGGAAGTATCTCAGTGGAAGAATCAGAGCACCATGATTTGGGGTTTAAAACAGGTACAGGTAAGAGGCAGTGTGAGAGACAGGGTGACAGCCACCACCTCTGCCCAGGATGCAGACTAGGGAAGAGTCTTGGAAAACCCATCTTGTGAGCAGGAAACAGGAAGGCTCCCAGACTGTGGACGACGCCCGCCATGTGCAGCAGAGGACCCTCCCTCAGTGGGAGGCTGGGGACAGGAGGTGACCATGTCCAAGCTGAGCGGCTGCATGGTCTTCAGAGGTGGGGAAGCTTTCTGGTGATGGCATATGTCTGGGGTCCAGAGTGGTTTCTGAGTCTCATTCTTTCTGTCACTGGTTCTCACTCCACAATACACTATAAAACCCCTTCCAAAAATTTAAAAAATCCGGATCAATGGATCCAAGGAGGGGCCTGTGAGTCAACCAAGCCCCTTTAAAAGATCCTGGTGGTTTGAGTGTGCAGTGGGGCTGAAAGTCACTGTTCAGCTGACCTGGTTTACACTGAGCCATTAGAGGGGGTGAGCCGACGGCATGTGTCTAGGTCCGGTACCCCTATGGAAACTGGGACTGGGAATTTGCAGGTCCCACATGTTCCTGTGAACATGGAGCCTTGAGCAGCCACCACCAGCGTCTGCCACCTCCTTCCCAGCACAGTGCCGTCCTCCTAGCTCAGGTAAGATGCTGAGCCTGTCCTGGGCAGGTGGAGGAGTGGGAAGAAGGGACAGGCAGACAGCCAGTGCAGGAGGCTATGGAAACCATGGGGACGGTAAGAGTCACGTCTAGGCAAACGCTGCCCACTCCTGCTGGCTGAGAGAAGAGACGTTTATTCCATCTCCATCTCCACTCATCTCCTGTGCTGGATGCTTTAGTGTCAACTTGACTCACCTGGGTCGAGGGAGCCTCAACTGGGGAATTGCCTCCATTGGACTGGCCTATGGCCATATCCATGGGGGGCATCTTCTTGATTGTTGAGTGATGTGGGTGGTGCCACCCCTGGGCAGGTGGGCCTGTGTTGTATAAGAAAGCAGGCTGAGCAGGGGCCAGGGGAGCAAGCCAGTAAGCAGCATTCCTCCATGGCCTGTGCTCCAGCTCCTGCCTCCAGGTTCCTGCCCTGAGTTCCTACCTTGGGCTCACGGATGAACTGTGACCCAGAAGATGTAAGCTGAATAAACCCTTTCCTCCCCAAGTTGGTAGTGGTCAGAGTGCTTTATCACAACAATGAAGAAACAAACTAGGACGTCTCCACAGGCCCCTCCACAGCCCGTGGCCACCATCAGACCTGAGTCATCTAGAGCAACATCCACAGCCACATCACATCCACCCACATCCATGACTGTACTGTCCACATCTTCATCCAGCCTTCTTATACCTAGCACTGTTTCACGTGTGTACTACCCGTCTGCACCCCATCACCCACACATGTGGAACTCCATCACCCACACGTAGAACCCCATTACCCACACGTGGAACCCCATCACCCACACACGTGGAACCCCATCACCCACACATGGAACCCCATCACCCACACGTGGAACCCCATCACCCACACACGTGGAACCCCATCACCCACACACGTAGCACCAGACACCTCTCCATTCCCACCCATCTGCGACCCTCTCTGCCGAATGTGTCTCTCAGCATTCCATGAACACAGAACAGTGTTCTGTTCTGGATATTTGGGCTCCGGTGGGGCTTTGTCTGGTACCTGAGGTGTATTTTTGTTCAGAGGTCAGAGAAGCACTCAGTTTCTACCCCTTGCAGTTTTCACCTGAATTCATCAAAAGCCACTCACTTGGCTTTGCTCAATCACAAGCCCACATGCACCGACAGGACACGAGTTTGAGAGATAGCTCCCGAACACTTTAGGATTCTGGTTGTCAGGGGTGAGGGGTCACTTAGTACCTTCTTTTAGGAGATATTTTAATTGTTTTAGTTATGTGTATGTGTGAGTGTATGCCACGCGTGAGTGGGTGTCTCCAGAGGCCAGAAGAGGGCATTGGATCCTTGGAGCTGGAGTTACAAGCAATTGTGAGCTGTCCAATGTGGGTGCTGGGAACTGAATTCAGGTCCTCTGCAAGAGCAGCAAGTGCTCTTAACCGCTGAGCCGTCTTTCCAGCCCTAGTATCTTCTTCTTGATGGAATTCTGGGTCAGGTGCTCTGGGGTTGACACGTGCATGACTGTCACTAGTTTTGGGGAAGCAAATGAGTAACAAGTCTCAAAGGTCCGCAGTTGAAAATCAGAGTGAAAGCAGCAGGTCTGCCTGGAACACGGGCCTCTGGGGCAGGATGAAGGCCCAAAGGTGCCCTGTGCTTGAGCTGTCGATGGGCATGCTAAGGACAGAGGAGGCCTGGCCACGGCCAAGGTGTGTTTAGGGTCAGCAGTGCCACTGTTCATCAGGGCCACACAGACAAGCTTACGTCAGCCACGAACACGGGGCCTCACTGACTAGGACGTGGACTTCTGAGAGCAGGGAGAGGAGCAAAGAGACCTGTGTCTGAGCTCTCAAGTTGCTCATCTAGGGTGGGGAATGCCCATGGGGAGCCTGGGCGGAGGTCCCAAATGGCCCCATCCATGAGCTCAATATCTTCCCACTCTCATGAAACAACCAAGAACACTGAATCTGCCTGGTTCTTTCTCCTGTGGGCTTGGAGCTGGCACGGTTCCATCTCAGGAGCCGTGATGGCCAGACTGACAAAGGCCTCCAAAGTCCTGCTGCGTCCTGTGGTGCACTGGCCAGGAGGGACAGAGAGGATCCAGAGGGGGTCCCGAGGACAAGCCTTCCCCATGGTTCACTGTCCACCCCCATACCTTCCTGAGAGAGAGCAATTTAAAATGTCATTCTTAATTGTACCTATGCCGTGGGGACTGCTGGGCACTTCCCAGGCCACCTAGGAAGGGACTGACTGAAGGGACTCCTGCTCCGTGTCCTCCCTAAGGGCACAGATAGCTATCTTATACATCTTCACTGACTCACGTATAGCCCCCAAGTCCCCTTGACTTCTGGGCTTCCCATAACCCAACACTCGACCTCCTGGGGGCTCCCTGGCTCTGTTCTTTCTGGTTTCAGTGTCCTTCCTCCTTCTGTACACAGAATGTTCCAGAAAGGGCCAAAGTGGAGGACAGTATCCTCTGGGAGCCCTGATTAGGATATCTCCCGAGGCCATTCCTGGGGTTAGTACAGGAACCCTTCAGTCTGGAGTTATGTTCCTGGACCAGCCTCTTGTGCCTCAGTTTCCCCATCTGCACATGGACTCCTCACAGGGACCCTATTGAGAATGGAAAATGGCTGCATTTGAAGGGACAAGTGAACCAAGCCTCCCTCTTCTCCTGCCTCCCTCCCCCTCCTCCTGCCTCCCATCTGTGCTGAAACTTCATTTTCCCACAGTAGTAAACAATAAAAAAAAAAAATCACAGAGCCCCTGGTACGTGCTATGGAATCATCACACACTCTGAGAAGAGATGCTGATGGCACTGGTCCCAGCACTTACCGCTCTGAGTTTGCAGGCATGGTGGGATCAATGGAGACCATGGCGTCGTCTGTGGTCAGGAGGGAGATGGTAGTGTTCCTGCAAGACACACTCAGGTCAGCACTGCCCAGTGTACACACCTGCACACGGGCTTCATGTGACAGAGCCCGAAACAACCAGGACTTGAGAGTCAGGGGCCGGGTGTCCTTGGCTGTGGGCAGGCGGGGGTGGCAGGCTGTCCTCCAGACCCTGAATCTCCCTTAGCAAATCATATGAAAAGGCCGAGTATATTCTAAGTGCCTGCTGAATTTTAAATAATTTAAAATGGGAATTGGAGCAAGTCTAATGTATTGACTTGGAAGATTAAAGAGACCATGGTACCCAAAAACTAATATTTAAAATGATCAGAGATCAGCAATCACATCTTGTCTATCTGCTTCTGGGTCTTTGGAGTGCCCTCCTGGCCCAACTCTCTCCTATAAAGCAAACTTAAATGGCCAAGATGAGTCTCCTCAGCCTGTTACCTTTGGGGCCTCTGACAGCTGTTACCTCTGCCAAGTCACTTAAGACCTTCAACTGTGGATTTTATTGTATTTCATTTTTGTGTGTACATGTGCATACACGTGTGCACACACGTGTGCACACACTCACGTGGAGGCCAAAGGTCAACTTCAGTGTCATCCCTTCTGCACTATCCACCTAGATTTTTGAGACAGGATCTCCCACTGGGATCTGGGGCTTACCAATTTAATGAACCTGGTTGGGTAGTGAACCCCAGGGATCCGCCTGTCTCCACCTCCCCAGGGCTGGAATTATAAGTGTGTGCCACCATATCACACTTTTTATGTAGGTGCTGGGGGGATTGAATTCAGATCCTCATGCGTGCACAGCAAGTACTTTACCCACTGAGCTATCTCCTGGGACCTGTGAATTTTAAATATCTGTTCAATGAAGAACTAGATGCCAGAATGTCACTCCTGATCACCCTTTTCTCATTAAAATTTTTTTTAATGTGTATGAGTGTTATGTACTGCAGTATGTAAGTAGAGCCGTGTCGTGCAATGCCCAAGGAGGACAAAAGAGGGTGTCAGATCCCCTGGAACTGGAGCTACAGACAGTTGTTAGCCACCATGTGGGTGCTGAGATTCGAACCTGGGTCTCCTGCAAGAGCAGCCAGAGCTCTTAACCGCTGAGCCATCTTTCCAGCCCCTTTCCTCATTTTTGTCTATTTTTAAAATTTTTATTTTTGGAGACAGGATGTCACTGTGAATCCAGGCTGGCCTCAAGCTCATAGCCTCCCTGGCATTATGGGACATGTCACCACACCTAGCCTTTGGCCACTCTTTCTAATGGGAAAGTTAGACGCTAACATGGGTTTAGTACCCCAAACACTGAAGACAGAAGTATTTTGGTTTTTTCCAGATCTTAGAACACTTGTATATACACAGTGAAATATCGTGGGCAGCGGACCCGTGCCTAAACACAAAAATCCATCTGTTCCACGTTGTGTTTTGACCAACCTCTTGTCACACAAGGTTGAGTGCACAATTTTCAACTTTCAGTGTTAGGTCGATGCTAAAGGTATTTCAGATTTTGGAGAATTCTGGATCTGGGGTTAGTTAGCAATGCTCAGCCTATAATTACAATAATTACAAGATCCCCTTGCCGGTACAAACTTGATTTAGGAAAGCAGCTGTGGGGAATTCCAAGGGTCTTTGAGGCAGAGGACTGCACATCTGAACTCGTTTTTGAAGTGAACCTTGGGCAGAGTGCAGGCTGGAAATCCGAGACAGCAAACGCACTGAGCACCAAGCACAACCTTCTTCCTTCCTCCAAGTGAATGGGCACGGCGGCCAGCTCTGCTGACTTAGCCGCTGCCTGCTGCTGGCACCTGCTGTGGGCAGCCACCTGCTGTGGGCAGCGGGGGAACCGTGGCTGAGCCTCACTGACTTGGGAGACCCTCGGTTGAAGTCCAGGGGATTCCTCTTCCCCAGCCCCCACTCACAGTTTCACCCTTCTCCAGCCCATCGTGGGGTACCATGGTCCTTGCCTTGGAGTCGGGGGAGATACTCACCGAGGCAGGCCAGTTGCGATGCAAAACAGGTCCATGATGTCACTGGAGTTGCAGTACTTGCTGAAAACCACCTGTGAGACACACAAGCCGGAATGGGGGGATGTTCAGCTGGTGAAGCGTTTGCTGTGTAAGCATGAGGACCTGAATTTAATTCCCACATAAAAAGACATGTATGTGCTGTAATGCCAGCATTAGGGAGGCCGAGACAGGACGGTCCCTGGGGCTTGCTGGCCAGCCAGCATAGCTGCCCAACGAGCTCCAGGCAACTGAGAGACGCTGCCTCATAACACAAGGTGGACGGCTCCCAAGGAGCAGCACAGGGGCTGGCCTTTGGCTTCCACACGAACATGCATGTGTGCACCCTTGCACACAGACAAAAAACAAGCCACAGACATGAAGTGGTGGAGCCGGGAACTGGTCTCCATGGCGACGCCAGATTCTATGTGTTTCCCTGATGTTCTGACCTGAAGGTTTCCTTTTCAAAGAAAAACCTTAACCGTGGGCTCTGGAATGTCACATGTGTAAATCATTTGGTCGCTTTACACAGACTGTGGAAAAACTTGGTTCTTTTGTGCAGTACAAAGGGCCACGGAAGTTCAAGTAACCGCCTGTTTCTCCACACCTGTGGTGTCCCTGGTTGTGTGTGCATGAAATGGGCAACGTCCATGAAGTAGAGATACCACAATACAACCAGTCTCCGACCCTCTCATGGAATTGCGTGGAAAGAAGCAACTCTAAGTTTATTAATCTAAAAACACCGATGGCCTTTAATCTTTGGGGTCTGAGGGGCTGAGCCTGAATGACAAAGAGTCAAAGTTGGCAAAGAAACACCTGTGAAATGTTGATGTCACAGTAAAATATAAACCGGATGTGCCACAGCATGCACGCCGCCCCACACCTAGCCTCTGCCCCTTGGGACAGGAAGCTAGCTTGCATCAGCGTGGTCTGTCCAAGGGACCTGGTGTGAGTCTCAGCTCTAGAATTCCTCCCAGAGAGCAAGGATTTCAAGCACAGCAGGGCCCTCTTATCTGACGCCGTACTTCCCAGTTCAGTTACCCATGCTCAACCAAGGTTCAAATGGAGCAAATGGAAATTTCTGGAAATAAGCACTTAATACATTCTAAATGGCATACCACACTGTGTGCTGGGAACTCGAACACCCTCCTGCTTCCTGCTGCTGGGGATGAGTCATCCTTCAGTCCTACACATCCACATGCCACTTGCCCCACATCACTGAGCGACTTGGTTCTCACACGGACTGCGGAGGCATCTCTACGCTTGTTCAAGTGGTTCTTACATCACTTATTGAAGTGACTATTTTATAATAAACTTTATCGCAGCTTTCTTTCTCCCCTCCCTCCCTCCCTCCCTCCCTCCAGCCCTCTCTCTTTTTTAATATATAATTTTTTATTGAGCTTCTGTATTCCCATACGACAGTTCTCAAACCTTGACCCCCTCCCCCATTCATGCCTCCGCCATCCCCCCACTAGACCCCATGTACTCCCCAACACGGTAAGTCCCATCCAGTCAAGCATTTGCACCCAGAGATCGCGTGCAAGGCGTACTCTCTCCTACCCAGCAGCAACCAGCCTCCAACAGCTCTCAGTCTAGGGCCGGCCCACCACCCATCTCTCTCTTCCCCTCTGGGCCCCTGTTCAGTTGAATTGGCATGGGTCTTGTGCTCGATGCCGCCATTGTCACAAGTTCACACATGCAAGCTTTCAGGGGCCTAAAAGTCTCCGCTTCCCTGTGTTCAGGAACCAGCCCTGGCTCTTACAATCTTTCCACCCCTTCTTCCACATTGTCCCTGAGCTGTGGGTGGGCGAGGTGGATATCGGAGTCCTATCCAGGGATACACACTCTGCAGTCTCTTAGTCTTTAAAACCTGGGCAGTGTGGCCTTCCGTGTGCGTCGCAGGCTGCCGCACAAGGAACCTTCACTGGTGAGAGCTGAGGGATGCATTAGTTTCTCAGCTGAACCTCTACAACTAAGGCTCATGGAACCTAGTAGAACAAGAGGTAGAGAGAAAACTAATGTAGCTCTTTCTTGTACTGGGGATCAAAGGAAGGGCACATGCTGGGCACGTGGCCTGCCGCTGAGCTACAGCCCTAGCCCTTGTGTTTTTGAGACAGGGTCACACTGTGTAGCCCAGGCTGGCCTTGAATTGAGATACCCCTCTTCCACCTCTGGAGTGCTAGAATGACAGGCCCCTAAACTCCTTTCATTGTAGTAGATGTTTCCCTTCATCACCTTTCCCCGGCTCACTGCTGTAAATGAGCTTCCCTGATCCGCCCGCGTGGGTGAGCTTGCAGGTCTGATAAGACGGCCGTTGTTTTTTGATGCCCGTCACACTGAAATGAGTTGCTTCTTGTTAGACTTAGAAACAACGAAATACAGAAAACAGACGACTCCCCCGATCAACACAGCCTTTCAGTGACCAAGACACAAATAGGACGTCTGTTCACGCTTGCTGATTACACCTTTTGTATCTGCACTGCGGGTGACAGCTGGCAGTTGTGGCCCACGCCATCCATCTGGACTGTGCCGGATGTCTGCGGCTCTCTCCCCTGGCTGCTCTTTCGGCTTAGCTCAGGTCACACCAGGACTCCTGCAGTAGCCCCCTCCCAGGACCACTTCGGGTCTTCCCTGTCCCTGCCACTCCCTCCCATGATGCCACTTTTCTGTGCAGACCCTTTCTGCCTCCTTTCACCCACAGGGGAGGCCCACCTCCTCGCTGGGTAGAAGAGGCCCCAGGGTTTGTCCTCCCCCAGCCTGGGTCCTAAGTGCCCTTACCCTGGTTTCTGGCTTTTAGTCTCAAGGATGCGTCTCCTAATCCTCCGGTCATCTCTTCACCCTGATGTCCACACTCAGGCCTCTGCCGTCAGCAGAGCTCGCCCCTACCCAGTGCCAGCCGATTCTACCACAGCCATTCCTGGCATGGGCCTCTGAGTCATGGCTTATGCTGTAAACTTGCTGATAGAACCAGTCCGGATCCTGAGTCTGAGGTCTTGAGCTAGTCTGGGGTCCTGAACCAGCCTGACGTTCTGAGGTGGCCTGGGGTTCTGGCCATTTGCCTACCAAGGCAGACTGCCACATTTCCTGAATCTAGTGTAGTACGCTCAGCCGTGCAGTTTGCTTTGTAGGGTCGCACACCCACACACTCTGCTGTGGGGGGCAACAGAGGCGGGAGGCATGGCATGAAGGTTCTTTCCATGATCACTCATGGCAGAAGGCTTCTAGAACACTGGGTGGGGGTTGCTCTGCAATCCGAGAAGCCTCAGGGACCCCATGCAGAGGGTCTGACTGAGGCACCAGGGATCTGCACTTTATTTTTACCAGGCCCAAGGGGGGCATCTCCAAGACACTGCGGGGAGGGGTGTACAAGAAGTGGGGTGCAGTGCTGTGCGGCTGAGCTCACCCTCCGTAGTCATGTCCTCCCCTCCACCCCCACCCCCGTCCCCTGCATAGGCACTAAGGGTACCATGTGGCTGGTCTGAGCTGCCAGCGCCCAGAGCCCACAGGGCTGCTCCTAAAGTTGCGTCCTCTCTGGTCACCTACAGCAAGAGCCATGACTAAGGGCTTCTTTGGGCCCAGGTGCTGCCCAGTGGGCCTCCCTGCCCCAGCCCTCATGCCCCTGTAACTGGGGCACGCTCCCTGATTTTTTTTTAATTTTACATTGATTTATTGTGTGTGTGTGTGTGTGTGTGTGTGTGTGTGTGTGTGTGTGCGCCCGTGCGCATGCGTGCCACTGCGCCCGTGTGGAGGTGAGAGGAAAACTCTCTACTATGTGGGTCCCAGGGATCAAACGCAAGTTGTCAGGCTTGCAAGGCAAGTGCCTTTACCCGCGGAGCCGTCTCTCCTGCCCGCCCTAACTTTTTTGTGCCTCAAATTTAAGTTCTATAGAATGGGCCCACAAAGGGGGCAGCTGTTACTTACAGTTGGCTTAGCCTGACTGGCTTCTTAAGTCTATGGTCAGCTGGCGGCCAGAGTTTTGTCACTTTGAGGAAGAAGCTCAGAGGCAACAGTAAAGGACCACACAAGGCACTGTGAACTGCAGACCCCCAGAACTCCTATTCACATGAGGCAAGGTGAGGGTGCTAACCTGTGGCCCAGCAGGAGAGGACAGAGCAAGGCGGGGAGAAGGGCTTACTGTTGCGCACAGTCCTAGCTCCATGAAGAGCCCCCGCTTTTCTTAAGCACCTCTACTACCTGGTAGATTTAAAAAAAAAAAAAAAAAAACTGAAATGAAACATTTTAAAATCATATCTGGATTTTGCTGCTGGCTCCACCTCCTCCCGATTCAGGAAGTTGTATTAAAGTCTTTCCTTTCCATAGCAACAGGGTTATCTGCAAAGGTTCCACCAGAATCCACCCACATTTTCAGAGCGTATAAACAGGACCCTTGGTGGCCTGAGCAGCAGAGCTGTGCCCGGAACTCATTTGTTTGGGGTGTGCAGACATCTCACAGAGCTGGGGTGACTATGGGGGATCAAAGCTTAGAAATTCCTCTAGGAGGGAGTCTGGGTCGGGGGTTGATTTGTTCACAGGGTCCCAGCCTTCCAGATGGGATTCTAGAAGGCCAGGAGCCTTGGAATGTTCTGGAGCCTGGAGAAGTGCTCACTCAAATTTGTAAGGACGGCTAGTGAAATGTGGGGGGAAAGGGAAGATCTTTGTGCTTGGGCTTCCTCAGATAGCAAGTAACCAAGTCTTTTAAAAATCTAAAGATAAAGCCTTAGGCAGGTGTGGTGGTGGCATGCCTGTAAAGCCAGCACTTGAGAGGCTGAGGCAGGAGGATCGTGAGTTTGGGGCTAGCCTGAGCTACATAGTGAGTTTGAGAACTGCCTGGGCTATGTAAGCCTCTGTCTCAAAAAACCAAAAAACAAAACAAAAGATAAAAGTAAAGTCTTCCAGCAAATCAAATGGAAGGTTCCTGCAGCACGTGACACCCCTCTTGTCCCTGTGCCAGCAACAGAACCGGATCTAGTGAGACCAGCCTTGTTCTGGGACCAAGAATCATCTTTGTCTGGAGATTATTTCTGACAAAAGGTCTGGGGTAGCTGTAGGGAAATTT